ACCTTAGGATTTTCTCTAAGTCCTACAGGTATCCGTTATACTTGAATCAACTCAGCAATTTATCACGTCTTAGAATTTAAGATATATTTAATCGAACTTGTAATGACAAACTCAATAGCAAGTTAGTGTAGTATATCACAATAATCTTAGATGAAGAATAACGTTAAAGGGAAAAGTAGTTTGTATAGATTTAAATTGATTTCTTTATTTATAACTTGAAACTCGTATGAAACTTATAAACTTACAACTGAGTTTTTAGACTCACAATTGAGTTAATTTACAACTTAAGCAAAAAGCTATTTTATTTATATAAAATGACTTTGCTACAGCTAACTACTTGCTATGCTATAAATTAACTAAATATAGATATATGTCTCAATAAAAATATATTTAAATATAATAAAATAATAAAAAGAAATAAAATAAATAATAGATGTTAAAGAAATTACAGACGAAATAGAGTAAATATAATAAACAGACTGTTTAGAAAATACAGGAAAAACAGGCATATCAAACGAAACAGAAATTATTGCTGATCAATATTTGGCACAGCAGTGGTATCATTTAATGTGAGGTCATTATTGATCGACAAATCCCACGTGATATTTAGAGTTACAATTTCTTCCGTTGATAATTCTCCTCTAACTTGAATTTCAAATATAGTAGTGAGAAAGGATTTCGCCTTCAAAATGAGATCCTGTATTTTACTTTTTGTTAATCGTTGTACTTGCCAGGTGGTTAAGACTTTGGTTTGATAGAGTTGTGATATTTCTAATTCTTGAAATATCATAAAGTCTTTACAGTAACCTCTTTCTGATATGGATTCAAAACTAATTTTGCTCAGTTGTAATCAATATCTTCTAAAGAATCTAAAAGGTCTCCAGCAAAATACATGTTTATTAACATTCCAATTCTGTTTCTGGCCACTTTTGTTCATCGATAATTTCTTTGAATTATCCTTATTTTCGTCTTAGAATCATCTGTAGGTTGATAGGGACGGTAATATTCTTGAATAGGTAATAGTTTCATTTGCATTACGTCTTGTAAAATTTCATCCATTTTTGCAAAACTGATACTAATAGAGGATATCAACCTTTATATATATATTTTTTTTCATATATCAATCACTATTTGTGATTCTCATGACTATCGATCAAAGTAACTTTTTAGTAAATCACCATTTACTGGTTTGGCAAGAAGGCGTCCATCTTCTTCTCTTAAATGGTAAGATCCATTTATCAAAATCTCATGAAT